TTTTGTATGAAGGCCGGTAGACAAGATGTAGTACTCAGTACTTGCAAATGCAATGGAAATGAAGAACTGACATCAGAATCAGAGACCCGGTCTTTAAGTGCTTCTGCTACTCTTTTTTGGGGTAACTATTAAGCAGAGTAGAACCACGAGGCAATGAAGGTTGGCACTAGGCTTGCTGCTAGCTTTACTCCAGTTAAGCTGAGAAGGCTGCAGTTCAAAGACTGGATATAGTAATCATGTTTCACAGACAGCAATCCAGTATGGAACATTTTAGATGCCTCAGTGATGGATGATCTAGTGAACTGCGGTGGGTGGGGGGAATCTAGGATCAAACTGGACAAAATTAAGATGCTTCAATCATAGCAAATCCATCCAGCAAATTTGAAAGACTATTCAAGGAGGGTATTTTCAGTATGAATAAAATCATGGCACCTGGTTTTATGAACTGGAGTCTTTGGATATGGAACAGATATGATTTGACAAAAACAATGATGACCCAGACACATGGGTTGATGTTAAAAAGTATACCCACTGTCAGTTTCAAACCTATACTCTTGGGCTATGTCTTGACTGCAAGCCTCTTTCGAAAGAGCCTCTTTCGAAAGTTACTTTTGAAAGAGCCTCTTTCGAAAGAGAGCGTCTAGACTGCACGCGGAACTTTTGAAAAAGCAAGCCGCTTTTTCGAAAGAAAGCACCCAGTGAGTCTGGATGCTCTCTTTCGAAGAAGCCCTATTTACATTCAAGAACGCCTTCTTTCGAAAGAGCACTTTCGAAAGAAGGCGTTCTTCCTCGTGAAATGAGATTTACCGCCGTGGAAAGAAAAGCCGCGTTCTTTCAATTTAATTTCGAAAGAACGCGGCTGCAGTCTAGATGCAAGTGAAGTTTTTTCGGAAAAAGGCTACTTTTTCCGAAAAAACCCCTGAGTCTGGACACAGCCTTGGATGGAAAGCAAGGGATGTGTTAGAGGTTTGTGAGACCCGTGTTCTGAGCCAATTCCAGTAGGTGGCGATAGACAGCAGGAACAATCCTCCAGAGTGGTGCATTCTGACACAAGTCGGACAAGTCTCCAGTGGCTCTGACTTTGTCTGATTGCTGGCACAAGGACAGCAGCAAACGAGACCAAATTTCAGAACAAATGACAAAAGCTGTAAGGGCTGCAGAAGTAGATTAAGAAAGTGACACGAGCAAAGTTGAAACAGTGAAACTCAGGAGCCTGGCAAGAAACAGCAGGTGGGATCTTGGGAAGTCACTTGTTGACCTTTGACAGAGGCAAGCAGAAAAGGCAACATCTGAAAGAAAACAGGGCTGATCCATTGACTTCACGGCAGCTCTGCTGAGCCCCAGCAGTAGGGGATCTGGCCCTTTAATTTTTAAATGCCATTCCAGCCTTTAGACGGGTGTAGGGCACTGCATGTATACAATGCGACAAGCAGATCAGAGGACAGGGGAACTCTGCCTAGCATTAGGCTGTGCTGCTTAGAAACAAGGATAACATACAAGCCTTCAACTTCACCTTCCGTGAATCTCTTCTTAAAACTCTCCTGTCTGTTGTGATGTCTCCAATGCACATAACAGGTTAGGTAGCTAGTGTGCTGGAATTTCTGCTGGCTGTGGTGATCTTAACTGTTTCATTGCTACCCTGTCCTTCCTGCTATCTGCTCTGGCTTGCCTTATACTTGGATTGTAAATTCCTTGAGGCAGGGACCTTCATATTATTATGAGAATGTGCCATGCATAGCACAATACAGCCCAAGCTGACCAACCTTCTCTCACTGTTTCCTTGTATTCCCCTGTCTGTCTCCATCTGTTATCTCATGTCTTATATTTACATTGTAAGGTCTTTGGAGCAGGAACCAACTATTTGTTCTGTGTTTGTGCGTCACCTAGCACAATGGGAACCTAAATAATAATTTGGGCCTCTAGTTGCTACTCCAGTACAATTAATAGTATGAACAAAAACAACAATACAAAAAAATTACCACCACCAGCACCAACAACAAGCACAGTGAAGATCACAGGTAAGCTTATATCTTCACCCATTCCACCTCCCCTTTTAAATCATTCTCTGCACAAAAGCTAGGAAGGGGGTGGACATACAGGGAGCTTGAGACATACCACCGAACAGGAACTGCTGTATGACACATAATAAAGCTGAATGTTTTAAAAGAGTTTCTGCATACAAAATAAGCCACAAATGTGAAGTGCAAGAGGTTTATATTGACACCTTATCACCTCAGAAGCTGGGGATTCATAACCCATGTTGAAGTCAATTAAAAGAATGATCAAAGCCACAGAATCCTCAGATTAAAGCTTTGCCTTATTATTAGAATGGTAAGGATCTTGTGAACTGTGAAGATATTTGTGTGAATATCTTCTTCAGCTCTGCTCTGAATGGGGCTGTGCTGTGAGTGAGCTCTCAATACAAGATCCTTAGCTTCTGTAAATCAACATAATCAAAGGAGACACTCAGTTAAACCAGTGAGGATCTGGCCTCACACAAAACTGGTAAAAACAATAAAGTTTTACATACTGTTGCATCAAGATCATGCGAAACTGAAGTGTACGTGTCCCACCTATGAATCAAAAATGTCCCACAAAGTTTCCACACACAGAGAGAAAAACATTTAAAATTTTTGGTTTCACATTCAATTCAATTTAACAGGAGACACCTGTCAGGGATGATCTAGACAGTGGTTGGTTCTGCAGTGAGGCAGGAGACTGGACTCAATGAGGGTATGTCTACACTACAAAGTTAGTTCGAACTAACGGACGTTAGTTCCAACTAACTTTAATAGGCGCTACACTAGCGATCCGCTAGTTCGAATTTAATTCGAACTAGCGGAGCGCTTAGTTCGAACTAGGTAAACCTCATTTTACGAGGATTAAGCCTAGTTCGAACTAGCTAGTTCGAATTAAGGGCTGTGTAGACCCTTAATTCGAACTAGTGGGCCTTAATTCGAACTCTGGCCAACACCAGGGAAACTCGTCTGCCCCCCTCCCTGCCCCGGACCCCTTAAAGGGGCACGGGCTGGCTACGGTGCCCGTGCCAGGTGCAAGCCTGCCA